GGATCACTTGAGGCCAGGAGTTTGAGACCACTCTGGCCAACCTGATGAAACTCTATCTCTACTAAAAATACAAAAATTAGCCAGGCATGATGGCACATGCCTGTAATCCTAGCTACTCAGGAGGCTGACACAGGAGAATTGCTTGAACCCAGGAGGCAGAGGTTGCAATGAACCTAGATCACACCACTGCACTCCAGCCTGGGCAACAGAGTAAGAGTGCATCTCAAAAAAAATGTAAAAACAAAATCCATGAAACTTTAGCAGGCTAACTTACTGACTTTCAAGAAAGTTAAAATCCTAGATCCCCTTCAATTCTTGACACACACTATGCTAGAATAGCTGGGCCCTAGATTGTAGAATCAGCCTGCTTACTAAAGTATTATGATTTTTTTTTAAAGTATCTTGTTTGAGCCACTGCATTTCAAGGTATCTCTTTTTGTTTATTGTTTTTTTAATAACAGTCTAGCCTTCACCTTAATATAATCCAACTGTCTGTGAAAGTGCATTTGATATTCCACAGGCACCTTAAATTTAAACTCCTCAAATCTCTCACAAAAACCTGCTCTTTCTCTAGACTGTCTCAGTGAATGGAATGAAACCATGACCTAGTTCCCCAGTTATCCTTGACTCCTACATCCTTCACTCCCTACATCAACAAGTCCCAAATATCCTCTCTGAAATGTCACTAGGATCCATCAATTTTTCTCCATCCCCACTGCCACTGACTTTAGGGCAAATCACCGCCCTTTTTTTCCTCGATTATTTTAACTGCCTCTGAATATTTTAACTGCCTTCTCACATCCTGGACTCATTTCCCTCAAGTTCTTTCTTCAAACTGCAAGCAGAATAGAATTCCTGAAATTCAAATCTGATGTCACTCTCTTGCTTAAAAACCTCTATGGGTTCCACAGTGCCATCAAGATAACGTCCACACTAACTTTATCATGTTACTACTAACCTGATATGCAAGGTCTTTGCTTACCTTTCTAATTCATCTTATGTTCCTTCCCACCACAATCTCTAAACATTTGTCTTATGCAATACTTGTAGCTCCCCAAAAGTGACCTCTCTCCACTACCTCCATGCCTCTGCCTAAAACTAACATTTATGGCTACTTACAACACTCTTCCTTCCCCTGTTGCCTATCATTTCCCGTCTTGGTTTGGATGTCATTTCCTATAGTAAGCCATCCTTAGCTGTATCTCCTCTCTCTAACTGTATTACTCCTATTTATTGTTATGTCACACTATTATTATCAGGTATGAGATTCACACCTTGAAATAAAAAACATTCTTATTCAGCAACTGTCTCAGTACCTGGCACCTTTTAAGTGCACAACAAATACACCAAATGCCTGAATAAACTTCTAACATACACCTATTGAAAAAAAATTCTCTATTACCAACCATAAATTTGAATATTCCTCCCATATGACAGAGCTTCAAATATTGAAAGTATTTCTTCCCAAGGCTAAACATCCTCAGTTTATTTCACAGTTCTTCAAATGGTACGGTGTTCAGGGCTAAACCTTCTCATCCAGACCAGCCATCTTTCAAACTACAACAACCAAAACTAAATGAATTTCAACAGCCAGGATGTGGCCAGTAAGAGGTACAGAGAGCCAATTACTGTTCTGTTCCAGACACTTCATTTCTAATAGCACAGTCTAATATTGCACTATTGATACTGACTCCCTAATCAATCAACTAATTACAAATACACTCTGGGGATATTTTTTGTACTGTGCCAGAGGTGCAAAATAACAGATTGATCCACTCGCTTTGGCCACCACAAAATGCTGGGATTACAGGCGTGATGCACCGGGCCTGATCAAATTTTCTTCCATAAAAAATAAGTTATTTAAATTACACTTCTGGAAAATATTTCTATTTCAGAATTGAAGTCACCCTACAATCATTTAGTTCAACCACCATTTACCAAACAGAAAAGTGAGGGTTTAGAAAGTTGTACACAATTAAGCTGTCTTAGGAATCAGGAAGCTGAACCACTTCCCTACAAACCTACCCAATTTAACAAATTATCCTTACCTCACTCTCTATCCTGGATTTCAGTAGGTCAATGTCTTCAGACAGTTTATCCACCTGGGTAATCAGGCCCTGCGCACTCTGCATGCTAGGCAGGAATTCACTGTACTTCTTGCTAATCATATTGCACACCTCACCCTAAAATATAAAACAGAATTACAATAAAAGACAGTGAAATGAGTAGAAAACTCTGATAAAAATATATTCATCTTCCACAAGGCATTTTCCATGTTAGAACCTTCTTGCCAATTGCCCAAAACCATTCACTTTCCCTCCAAGCCAATGAGTTTCTTTCAAAAGCACATTTCTCCCACCATGAGGGGTCTCATAACACTATTAGGGTGAAAGAAGACAACAATATCAAACATCACTATGTACTCCAAGAGTATGTACAACTATTACTGGTCGATTAAAACATTAATTAAAAAAAAGAAGACTATGATCACCAAACCCCAACAGTGCCCAAGAGTTGTACAATTGCTGGAAAAGATAAAGGTGGAGTCAGAAGTTCTCATATTGAACTATATCAGACTGTGGTCACCAATTTTAATGATAAATCTAATAGAAAAGAAAATAAACGGATAAATTAAATCCATAATCTATATCTCTCAATCAATTTCTATTTTCTTGCCTATAACATTTTATGGCCTGATCTTAAAACCCTACATTGGCCAGGCGCGGTGGCTCAAGCCTGTAATCCCAGCACTTTGGGAGGCCGAGACGGGCGGATCACGAGGTCAGGAGATCGAGATCATCCTGGCTAACACGGTGAAACCCCATCTCTACTAAAAAATACAAAAAACTAGCCGGACGAGGTGGCAGGCACCTGTAGTCCCAGCTACTCGGG